TCATGCAAAAACCTCTTTCTTCTCCAGGCTTAATTATCTCACTGCAAATGGACCTATGACCTGGATACATGTACTCTCTGTACCTAGTTGGAATCCTGAAAATATTCTAACAAGAATCTCCATACCACCAGACCATTGTCCTTATCCAGACTTTTACAGCCTGTTACTAAAACCCTGTCTATAGTTAGAAAAAAAAAAGTTTACTTACTATTTTCTGATACTAGCATGGTATCTTTGAAAGGTTGTCTCTTTTCTTAGTAGCTAAGATTAATTCAGTTTATTCCTCTAAGGTGTATTTCATTTTTCATTTTTCTTATGGAGACCAAATTACTATTATTGAGTAGAATGCACAATTACTTGGATCCCTGATGAAGGAACCCTTGGTAAACAAACAAACAAACAAACAAACAAAAAACAATTAAAAATACTAAAACACTGATACAGTATCCCCACTACTATTCTTGGCTTTCTTAAACACTCCTTAAAAAAGTGAGAAATCTTAGCAAGTCTGATTTCAAATCAGACTTGGGTTTTCTGATTTGGGGTTCAAGTATTATGTAATCTGTAAATTATAATTAAACACTTTTTTAAAAAAATATTTATTCATTTTTGAGAGATAGGGGACACGCCCAAGAGCAGGGAAGGGACAGAGAGAGAGGGACAGAAAATCTGAAGCAGGCTCTGCACTGACAGCAGAGAGCCCACTGCAGGCCAAGAACTCATGAACCGGGAGATGACCTGAGCCAAAGTCAGACGCTTAACTGACTGAGCCACCCAGGCTCTCCTAAATACTTTTTCTTACTAAAGCAAGATATAAAAAGCTCTGTCACTCTATCCCCCATGTTGTTCCCTATATAATGAATTTATCTAATGTGAGGTAAAATTTGCCATAAAGTATAACTACGTTTGCTGAATGTGAAATTTCTATCCAGGTGATATAGATATTGTGGCATATATGTCTTAAGTTAAAAATTCAACAAAGTATTTTACTGTAGGAAAGGGGTACATAAGGAGTGGGAAAAGCACCAGGTTGAGAGACAGTGTTCAAGGTTTGAATTCTGATTTTTCTCTTATTAGTAAAATGACGTTGAGCAAATCATTTCACTCGACTAAGGGTCAGTTTCCTCATCTGTAAAATGACAATTTCTGGTTCAGAGGATTATTCTGAGTATGCTATGCACTAATGGATGTGTATTTTTGTGTTTTGTTTGTTTGTTTGTACTGTGAGGCAACATACAATTTATTATTTTTTTTTCCTCAACGACAAATCATAAATCATGGATAATATAAGTATCCTTTTATAAAACTTAGAATACTGGGGCACCTGGGTGACTCAGTTGGTTGAGTGTCTGACTTTGGCTCAGGTCATGATCTCATAGTCTGTGAGTTCAAGCCCCGTGTCAGGTTCTGTGCTGACAGCTCGGAGCCTGGAGCCTTCTTCGGATTCTGTGTCTCCCTCTCTCTCTGCCCCTCCCCCACTCGTGCTCTGTCTCTCAAAAGTGAATAAATATTAAAAAAAATTTTAGAATATGGTTTTCATGTGTGTTTGATCCAGAGAGGCCTTTATAGACACTCAAGTTTATCTTCCTCTCTTTTAGCTTTTGATAAAAATTCAGAGTGCTGTGAAGCGACTTTACTAAGTTAAATAAGAGCCAGTAACAAAACTCTAACCAGAATTCAGTGTTTTGAGATGAATTCGAAATATCTGCTAAATATTTCCCTGCATCTGTTGAGGGATCATATGGTTCTTATCCTTTCTTTTATTAATGTGATGTATCATGTCGATTGATTTGTGAATATTTAACCAGTCCTGTATCCCAGGAATAAATCCTACCTGATCATGGTAAATGATTCTTTTAATGTATTGTTGGATCTGGTTGTCTAGTATCTTGTTGAAGATTTTTGCATCCATGTTCATCAGGAAATTGGTCTATAGTTCTCCTTTTTAGTGGGGTCTCTGTCTGGTTTTGGAATCAAGGTAATGCTGGCCTCCTAGAATGAGTTTGGAAGTTTTCCTTCCATTTCTATTTTTTGGAACAGCTTCAAAAGAATAAGTGTTATGTCTTCTTTAAATGTTGGTAGAATTCCCCTGGAAAGCCATCCGGCCTCGGGCTCTTGTTTGTTGGGAGATTTTTGATTACTGATTCAATTTCTTTACTGGTTATAGGTCTGTTCAAATTTTCTATTTCTTCCTGTTCCAGTTTTGGTAGTGTATATGTTTCTAGGAATTTGTCCATTTCTTCCAGATTGCCCATTTTATTGGCATATAATTGCTCATAATATTCTCTTATTATTGTTTGTATTTCTGCAGTGTTGGTTGTGATCTCTTCTCTTTCATTCTTGATTTTATTTATTTGGGTCCTTTCCTTTTTCTTTTTGATAAATCTGGGTAGGGGGTTATCAATGTTGTTAATTCTTTCAAAGAACCAGCTCCTGGTTTTGTTGATCTGTTCTACTATATTTTTATTCAATCCTGGTATCCGAGAGCTAAGCATGTCACGCAGAAATAGGCTAACTGTAGGAAGGATTATTTTTATTAGACATTAAATACATCACCAGCACCTTTTCTGAAGCCATCATAAACATTTTTTTTTCATGTTTTTAATTGGCAAAGTTAAGCAGAGAAAGTTTACATGCACTGTTACTCTTGTATGCATTTTAGCCCAGGACTTGTCCTCCTAAACTGTAAATGTAGCTCATAAGAAAACCCTACTGGACAAATGTGGCAAATTTGCAGCCTTGCAATCATTTAGATTTGGTTGACCCTTATATCAGTAAGAAATGAGATATTCATCATGTAATCAGCCAGTATTTCCTGAACTCCTACTAGGTGTAATAAAAATAGACAATGTGTATTGTGCTTTCTGTATCCTAGTTTTATGCATTTTATGTGTAACGTCTCCTTCAAAGTTCACTTCTACTCCATGAGGTAGTTGTTACTGTCAGCACCATTTTGCTAATGAAGAAAATGAGGCCCAGGGAATTTAAGTATCTTGTCCAGTTTTACCAGCATAGGAGGAAGTAGACTCCTAGATTAGAACTCTGGCCATTGGCTCCTGAGACTGTCCTCTAAACTACTCGGTTATGCTACTGGATGTTAAAAGCTCTGTGTTAGGGGCTGAGGATATAGCAATGGGTGAAGCAGACAGGATCTCTGCCTTCATCAAAATAAACAAATACAAAAAGTAAGCAAGTGCAGAATGACTGTATAGCAGTAGGTTTCAAGGAGAGAGTAATTACAGTTTTCTAGTATAGAGATGGAAAGCTTCAAACAAGAGTTTGATAAAGCTTTCCTAACAACTTATGACATTGTAACTCAGCAGAAGTTTAAATGAAAACATGCTGACAATAAAGTAACCATCATTATTGGAGGATAGAGGATCATGGATAGCTACATTTAGTTGGCAAGACTGGTTCATAGATATTGTTTTTTGTCACGCAAAGCTCTGTAAAACAGAACTATTATTAGGTCTTACATTGCAATGAACATAAGCTATTATTCTTTTAGCTAAAGCCAGAAGTAGAAGAAATCTGATTATACTCATCTTCAATGCAAGCCTAAAAAGTTTGTTTTGTCCTGAAAGCAATAGGAAATCACAGCTAGTTGTGAGCAGACAGAACCAATTAAGGTAATATTTTTAAAATACAGCTTTATCTGTGTGATACATGTGAGGAAGAAAGTCAATGTGATCAGTCAAAAGCTATTGCAAAATTGTGTGAGTGAAATAACAAAGGCCATCAGTGAAAATCAAGAGGAAAGATCAGATATGAAAAGGATGATAATAGCTTTGTTCTTCTGCTTATGTAATCGTAATCTCTTAGAATCTAATAAGCATATTCTTATGAAAGCATTTCAACAGATTCATATTAAAATTTTATAATTCTTTTCTGAGCTACTGTGTTAGTCTACTTGTTAAAAAAATAGAAATGAGGGGCACCTGGGTGGCTCATTCGGTTAAGCATCTGACTGTTGGTTTCTGCTCAGGTCATGATCTCAAACCCCAAGATGTGGGTTTGAGCCCCACATCAGGCTCTGCCCTGGCAGTGTGGAGCCTGCTTGGGATTCTCTCTCTCACCTTCTCTCTCTGCCCCTCCCCTACTTGCACGGTCTGTCTCTCTCAAAATAAATAAATAGGGGCGCCTGGGTGGCTCAGTTGGTTAAGTGTCCAACTTCGGCTCAGGTCATGATCTCACGGTCCGTGAGTTCGAGCCCCGCGTCGGGCTCTGTGCTGACCGCTCGGAGCCTGGAGCCTGTTTCAGATTCTGTGTCTCCCTCTCTCTCTGCCCCTCCCCTGTTCATGCTCTGTCTCTCTCTGTCTCAAAAATAAATAAACGTTAAATTTTTTTTAAAAAAGTAAATAAATAAATAAACTTAAAAAAAAAATAGAAGTAAGCAAATAAATATGTGTGAAAGAGCTGAGGATGTGCATTTCCAAAAACCACTCCAGGCCATGTTAATATTTTAAGAGTTAATATTACTAATTAAAAAAAAAACCCGGCTCCTTCTTAATTCTTTCAACCAGGTGTTTGTGTCAATTGGCCAATAAGAGAAAAAATGCCCTTTAATATATTTTAGCTTTATATTCAAGATGCCCCCAAATTAAATCCGATATTTAAATGCAGCATAATTTACAAAATGATACAACTCACAGAGAAACTGAAATATACACTATTTCCTTATTATCTAAGAACCACCACGGAAAAGTTTAAAGTGCTTTTAATGCCGTTTATAGTTTTGATGCAGTAAGAGATGTATGTGTATAAAGTATCGATCATTGGTAATCAAACCGTAAGAAGTCACATATGAACTTAATGATCTTATTAGTAAAACCTTAAATCTAAGCAATTACACTTTGTGGCGGCATATTACATGTGTATGTGTACATGTGTTTTGTTTTAGTTGAAATACAGTCACAAAAGAGAAGAAATGAAGATGAAAACAGTGTTATCTTAATATAGCTGAAATGTTATTTAATAAGACCAATTCGTATTCTACACAGGTATGACATCAAAGATGATTATACTCTGAGGATTAAAAAGGCCATGAGTACAGATGAAGGAACCTATATGTGTATTGCTGAGAATCGGGTTGGAAAAGTGGAAGCCTCTGCTTCTCTCACAGTCCGAGGTAAGAAACATAAGATGGGAAATACAATTGAATCAGCAGACTAATATTTGGTTAAATTGGTAAGTGAACTCCCAGTCAAAATAATAGCTGATACTCTTCTATTGTTTTTTACTATAATGTTTAGATTTTGTGTCCTTTCTATTATTAATTGAAATAAAATTACTTTCAAATTTGGTTCAAAGGGATGATTATTTGAAGCGATTTTTTAATTTAATGAATAATAGTTAATATGGTTTAAAAGTAAATCTTAAGAGTAGAAAAGATTTATACTAGTCTTCGTGGTCCCACCGCTTTGAAGTATTTACTGCTTTTAAGTGTTACAGTTTCAAAGGTACTCTGTTTTCTGTTTACTAGTTTGTCGGGTTTATACTAGTAGAGTACTACTTTGAAATTCGTTTTATTTCAGCATCCAAGAAGCAATTAAAAACAATAAAACTGACACTGCTTGCAGGGTGGAAAATGGATACAAATGAGCTACCGCATTGAGAAAATCTGATTGAGAGAGTGATTTGTGAAGTTCATTGGCCTTGAATAACTGAAATAGTGTGGCTCCTGTAACAACTTTCACTTTCTGGGAAAAGTGTCATGCACTTTTTCATTCATGGGAATAATATTCATTTATAGACTCCCTGGAATTGGTTAGTAGTGAAAGAAAGCAGTACTTAACCCTACAGTGAGGTAGAATGAATCAACTGTCTTCCTGGTGGTGCCTGTTGACTCACATGAGTACATTATATAGTCCCAGCTACCAAGTGGTACCATGTGGACATCTACACTTACTCTTGCCAAAGAGACATCACCCACCACATCATTTACACTCACGGGATTTCAAACAGCGATAGGCAAGCACGTCCTTTGATCTCTTTCCACCTTTCTCCCACCACCCCAACTGATGGCTTCTCTTCTCATCCTTTATCAGGTCAGCTGCATGCTCGCACCCTATAACTGAGAGACTCAGTTATATCTCATCCTGTTTAGTCACACCTCCTACCTTGTGTAGCTGTACTCCCAGAAGTTTTCACAGACGGGTGAAAAGGTTTGGAGGAATTTGGCTTGGTGAGAAATGTGTCAGGGATTCTCATGTTGGTCCTCCATCTGGACCAAAAATGATTTTTGCTGACCCATGATTTCAGCATCAAACCACTACAAGACAAACAAGCAAACAAACAGAACCCAAAACTTAACTTCCTTCAGGTAACTATTAGGAGACATGCACTTTGAATGACTTGGAAAATATTGATGATTTCCATACTTTCCAATTGCTCCATTTTTATTCCACTGAATCCATTTTTTCCTCCCATCCAGACATTCTAGCGTGAACTTAGGTACAGAACAGATTTAGACAAAATTGGCAAGCTAGTTGTTTAAAAACATTTCCATTCCTCATTAGTTAACAGATCATAAAAAGCTATGATCATATAACAATCAAATATATACACTGATTATATATTATCAAAATCTGATAGTCTTTGTAAGCCACTTTACTATATCTAATCTACATTCCCTGTAGGTGATTCTATATTAATATAGATTTGCGTGCTAGTCCTTTGGGAAAACAATCACTTGACCAAATTTCCCCCAAAGCTTATTTATTTGTTTTTTCTAAAGTGAGTGGGGGAAAAAATAAACAACCCCCAAGAAATGTTCCATATTAAAAAAAAAAAAAAAATATTTGCTGACTAAACATAAATGGTGAGAAAATGTGAGGAGTTGTTTGTTTGTAGAAGCAGCAGTTCTTTTTATACTTGAATGCTTGGCTGAATGAGACATGAAGTGGTCTGTTTGCTTTAAAATATTTCCCAGCTAATTGTTTTCGTAATTTGTTGAAAGTTTCAGGTTTAACATTTCATTTAACAAAGCATGCTCCTCTCGCATGGATGTTTAGAGCTAACTTAAAAAACTAATAGAGTTTTTTTGTTTTTAATAGGATTTTTTTTAAATCAGCAAACCTTAAATGGTCTCTCCCCTAATCTGTGTCCTGTAGATGGATTAGAGAGTTTAATCTGTGTGGTATGTATTTATTACTCATCTAAGACTGAATGAACCTCAGCAACAGGGTTAAAGAAAAAAAAAATCTCCATAAGACAATAGAATGTGGAGTAAAATATTGTTTAAAAATATTTTTTACCATTAGGAAAAGCAGTTGGAACTTCTCATGCTAAGAGGTTAACAGGAGAAAACGCATATTATCTATGACTTAATTTTTTTCTGTGCTCATTTTTCTGTGCACGTACATGAAATGGTTAGCCCTTCCCTGGATTGTTTTATTAGAACAGGGTCAACCGACCCAAGAGGCCACATCCATTTTCATCCATTTAATGCAGGGACACAGTTTAGTTTAATTTGCTGATTTTGAAAACATCCACCTGCTGGGGTTTTTTTTTCAAGATAAAATGTTGCTATGTAACAAAAACAAGAAGTTTAATTGGGATGTTTCTGCTAAAATTTTATCAGGATATTCAATTGGGGAAAAGGAAAAGGACTTTTGTAGTCAAAATCTGGAACACAGATTTACTCAGTTGTTTTCCACTTCAAAATAAGGTGAAAATAGACTATAAAATTAAATTTAACAGCAAGTGGCTCCCTTTGCTGACTTGAGGAACATAAAATTAGAAAGAAGTAATGCTAAACAACAACCAGCCTCCTAGCATTTATATTCTAATCAAATAATTCATGATCTAAGAGAGCTTTTTTAAATGGCTCCAGAATGTGTTAACACAAACTGCATATTTGTAAACATTTTTCCCCATTTCAATTGCTGAAATTGGCTTTGCATAATTCAAGACTTCATTGGAAAAACTATCTTGCTTCTAGGGCAATAAAACTTTTTCCTTTTTGAATTACCCTAGACTAGGTGAAAGAGAAATATATTTTATTTTTTTAAACCTGATTTTTCACCATGGTTTCTTCTTTTTCTCTCTTTATTATCATAGACTCAAAATGCCTTTTCATTTCTAAATGAAACATTGTGTTTGAGATTTAGCCTCAGGTGACACCTGAAAATGCAAATTAAAAACGAAAAGACAAAGTTCTTTTCCTACTGGATGTTGATAAATTAAGAGATATATATTTCGAATGAGGCACAACTTTATGATTTCGTCTGATATCTTGTTCTTGGTTGTTATTTTTTTTTGTGCACCTCCCCCCAAGATTGGAAAGAAATTGTGCATTGGGCAACGTTCTTCTTTTCTTCCTCTTGCTATGGGAACACATCATGGACTGTAGGACACATTAGAGCTTCACTGAGCTAGAATTTTCATCCTGCTGCTATAATTGCTTTGCTCTTCTTTGAATTATCTTAATCCCCCTTTTAATAATAAATAATAATATAAGGCATGCATCTCCTAAATAGGCAGCACCATATTGTTTCAGAAAATGCACAAAGCTAGAATCATGGCGTATTGGTTAAGCGAATGAATGCCTATAAATATGTTTTCAATGACTATATCCATCTCATCATGTCCAATGAGACATCATCAAGACAAAACTATGCTAAATTCTAGAGTCACATTATATATGCACTAGAGCTATCCACTAGGATGTGGGTGAGACACTTGTCACTAAAGTTTATATTTTGAATGTAAGAGTTCATAAAAGTTCAAATGCTACTAAATATATTTCTTCTTCATTGGAATAATGGCACCATATATTTTTATATTTTTCCATTGCTTTTATATAAAGTGGTTTACTATCTAAATTGATTTGGCATTATTCTTTGTAAAGAAAGTATTATTAAGCCCATGTGTGTCTCTTACAATTGCTGTGCATTAATAACAGGGCCAGCCTATTACTAATGATGTTAGTGATTGAAAGTTATGGTATAATAAAAAATAATAATAATTTGTTGAAGCAGCAGTTTGAAAGCCATTCTCAGAGTGAACAAGAATCAACTTGTCAGTCATTGTTTCCTGCCCTCTGCCAAAAAAAAAAAAAAAGAAGAAGAAGAAGAAAAACGTTTAACAGAAGTTAGGGAGCTACTCAGTTGAAATCTCTAAGGATGTTCCAACCTATTTGTTATATTTTCATCCACCCTGTCCACGGATGAAAAGTGATGTGATCTTAACTTATTACTGGCTGAAAAGCAGAGTCAGGGGCTTTTCTGTAGTCCTTGTAATGGTTCTGACTAACCATGCTTAAAATCCAATTCCTATTTAAATCAGACAGTGAGGCCTTCTTTTATTGACATGACATTTGCTAGTCTGTGACTTGAATGGTTATATTCATCAGGTTCTTAACTTTGGGGGTAATACAGGCTGTTTAAAAAGTTCTTTGAAATAATAACTATAGTAAGTGATGACAATCAAACTTTACATGAAATTATCTCTCACATCACATAGAGCTAATTCTGGAATGCAAAATAATTATTTTCTTAAAATTATATGTATAACTTTCAGTTTTAGTCAAACTCAGACATCCTGTTCATACTTGAATTATAAGACTAGAAATCACTCTACTGTCCATACTTAAATGTGACATTACACATCATGCATTCTGATAATTTTCTTTTCTTTCTTTTTTTTTTTTAATTTCTTCTTTATGTTCTCACCACACCATTGTAATGTCTACAGCTCGCCCTGTTGGTAAGTAGCCATCCTTCTATCCATTTAGCATGGCTTTGTACAATGCTTCATAACTCACGCATACTAGGATTTAAGAGAATGAAATATATTTATGACCCATGTTTAAATATTACTTGAGGGACTATCTTCTGTAAAAAATTGCTCCTGATCTTTTCATCAGTTTGATAAACATTTTATAGTGACTTTTGGTATTAACAATGAATAGGTAATGATTTTCCTGAAAAATAATATATGAATGTTTAATACTATAAACTGCTAACTTTTCCTAAAGAGAAAAATACAATATTTCTTTTTTCTTGTATATGTAAAATAATCATGTATTAGTTATACTTGATATTCATTAAGATAAATGATTCTGAACTCAATTAAGAAGTTTGACTACTGGATGCACTTTTTTTTTTTTTATAAACAGCTTCGAGTCCTTGTTTATCATGGACATTTTTAACTGCTGTATACTTATTATCTGTATGCCTATTTAAGCAAAATGTGGTAGAATGCTTCAAGTTATTCTAAGGAGATGCTTACACTAAGAGGGAAAGGGAAGGATGAATTGTGTTCTTTGGCATGGAAAGTTGGTGGTTTTAATATATCTCATCCTTCTTTCAGCTTTGCAAAAGTGAAGTTAACTGTTTGCATTTGCAGTAATTTAAGTGGTAATTATTTGTAAACATTTGGAAAAAAAAATTTTCAAATTCATTGATCTAATAATCTTTCTGCATCTCTTTTAAAGTTTAGCTTAACCAACCAATACATGTGTTTAAATAAAAGAAATCTTGGTAATTGTGTTATAAGGAAATGAACAGATTGATGCATAAATGGATGGATGGATGGATGGATGGATGGATGGATGGATGAATGAATTTAGTATGTTTCTTTTTTAATATATCAAGAGATACTTTAATAAATTGTCAATTTGACACAGCTCTGTAAATGGTCCATCTAACTTCAAAATCTTTCTTAATACACTGACTTGACATTGACATTTGATATATATTGGTCCAAACTCATAACTTTTTTTTTCCATTAGTTGAAACATTCACAAAACTTATTGTTATGTAGTATATTCTTACATACATAACAATACAGAAAATAGAACATTGGTTTCCCAATCTGAGTTTCTGGTCTGCTATTTCTGAGCAGTGCTTCTTTTGTTAGTTGTTTGATATCCCTGATCCTCAGTGACTTCACCTAGAAAATGGAGATAGTAATATTGACTTTTCAAAGCTGTTGTAGGAATGAAACGAGTTCAGGTCGGATTATATATGTGGAAACACTTTGTATGCCAATATTGATCAACATTCCTAGTTTCTGAGACATATATTATTTTATACTTTTGTGTTTTTGAAACATAGTTATGTCTTGCAGTCATAAAATACAATCTTGTTTTCTTTCAATATAATTATTAAATTGATCATGCTTTTTTACACTTGGAGATGTAGGAAATTGAAGAATATGTTACAGTTTTAAGCCTCATTTTTTAGCGTTGTATGAATTCTTATTAATGATAACTTTACATATCTATGGTACGATATAAAACATTAAGAAGTGAATGGGAGGGGCGCCTGGGTGGCGCAGTCGGTTAAGCGTCCGACTTCAGCCAGGTCACGATCTCCCGGTCCGGGAGTTCGAGCCCCGCGTCGGGCTCTGGGCTGATGGCTCAGAGCCTGGAGCCTGTTTCCGATTCTGTGTCTCCCTCTCTCTCTGCCCCTCCCCCGTTCATGCTCTGTCTCTCTCTGTCCCAAAAATAAATAAAAAACGTTGAAAAAAAATTAAAAAAAAAAAAAAAAAAGAAGTGAATGGGAAACAATAAGATAACTTTTCTGGTTAACAGGAAAAATAACATTTAAATTGTAGATCTTTATATGTAGAAACCTTATGCCGATAAACCATGACCACTTGATTTATATTACTTCACAAGTTCCCAGAACCTAAAACATATGTTAATAATTTCCAATACATTTAAAACTCATAAATAGAAAAGATGTACATTAATAGAAAATGTGATGCACAGAGAGTATTGGGATGTACTTGTCACCTGCAAGGCATTTTGAAGTTATTTCTGTTTTTATTCTTGTTTAAAATGATTTTTTTAATTCCCATTGGACTGGAACTAAAGAATAGCTTTTTGACACATTGTGTTTTGTTCTGGGAAAGTCTGTCATTTCATAAATCTATCTCCAATGACTTATGACAATGTTCAGAAATATGAAGAACTATACTTTAAACTTGACAACTGCTATTAATTTTGGAAACTGAACGTTGGATATGCTTTTAGTGGATCACCAGAGACGACACTGATAATGAGGAAATTAGCTTGCTTTTTCTTTGCATAAACTTTTTAAAATTAATTTTATTATTTTTAAATTACATCCAAATTAGCATATAGTGCAACAATGATTTCAGGAGTAGATTCCTTAATGCCCCTTACCCATTTAACCCATCACCCCTCCCACACCCCCTCCAGTAACCCTCTGTTTGTTCTCCATATTTAAGAGTCTCTTAGGTTTTATCCCCCTCCCTGTTTTCACATTATTTTTATCTTCCCTTATGTTCATCTGCTTAGTCTCTTAAAGTCCTCATATGAATGAAGTCATATGATATTTGTCTTTCTCTGACTGACTAATTTCACTTAGCATAATACCCTCCAGTTCCATCCATGTAGTTGCAAATGGCAAGATTTCATTCTTTTTGATTGCCAAGTAATACTCCATTGTGTGTGTGTGTGTGTGTGTGTGTGTGTGTGTGTGTGTACCACATTTTCTTTATCCATTCATCCATCGATGGACATTTGGGCTCTTTCCATACTTTGGCTGTTGTTGGTAGTGCTACTATAAACGTTGGGGTGCAGGTGTCCCTTCAAAACAGCACACCTGTATCCCTTAGATAAATACCTAGTAGTGCAATTGCTGGGTTGTAGGGTAGTTCTATTTTTAGTTTTCCAGAGTGGCTGCACCCAGCTTGCATTCCCACCAACAATGCAAAAGAGATCCTCTTTCGCCGTATCCTCGCCAACATCTGTTGTTGCCTGAGTTGTTAATGTTAGCCATTCTGACAGGTGTAAGGTAGTATCTCATTGTGGTTTTGATTTGTATTTGCCTGATGATGGGTGATGTTGAGCATTTTTTCATGTGTCAGTTGGCCATCTGGATGTCTGCTTTAGAGAAGTGTCTATTCATGTCTTTTGCTCATTTCTTCACTGGATTATTTGTTTTTTGGGTGTTGAGTTTGATAATATTTATAGATTTTGGTAATCTTTATAGATTTTTGATACTAACACTTTATCTGATATGTCCATTGCAAATATCTTCTCCCATTCTGTCGGTTGCCTTTTAGTTTTGCTGATTGTTTCCTTCACTGTGCAGAAGCTTTTTATTTTAATGAGGTCCCAGTAGTTCATTTTTGCTTTTGTTTCCTTTGCCTCCAGAGACGTGTTGAGTAAGAAGTTGCTGTGGCCAAGATCAAAGAGGTTTTTGCCTTCTTTCTCCTCAAGGATTTTAATGGCTTCCTGTCTTACATTTAGGTCTTTCATCCATTTTGAGTTTATTTTTGTGTGTCGTGTAAGAAAGTGGTCTAGGCTCATTCCTCTGTATGTCGCTGTCCAGTTTTCCCAGCACCACTTGCTGAAGAGACTGTCTTTATGCCATTGGATGTCTTTTTTCTGCTTTTTTTAAAGATCAGTTGGCCATACATTTGTGGGTCCATTTCTGGTTCTCTATTCTGTTCCATTGATCTGAATGTCTGTTCTTGTGCCAGTACCATACTGTCTTGATGATTACAACTTTGTAGTATAGCTTGAGGTCCGGGATTTTGATGCCTCCTGCTTTGTCTTTTTTTCAAGATTGCTTTGGCTGTTAGGGGTCTTTTCTGGTTCCATACAAATTTTAAGATTATTTGTTCTAGCTCTGTGAAGAATGCTGGTGTTATTTTGATAGACATTGCATTAAATATGTAGATTTCTTTAGGTATTATTGACATTTAACAATATTTGTTCCTCCTCTACCCAGGAGCACGGAATATCTTTTTCCATTTTATGTGTCTTCTTCAATTTCTTTCATAAGCTTTCTATACTTTTCAGTGTATAGATTTTTCACCTCTTTGGTTAGATTTATTCTAGGTATTTTATGGTTTTGGTGCAATTGTAAATGGGATGGATTCCTTGATTTCTTTCAGTTGCTTCATTGTAGGTGTATATGAATCTTTGCATAAACTTTTTTACATGAATTTGAATTCAGGAGTGATAGATATAACTTTTATTGTAATGTAAGAAGGTACAAATCAGGTAAATCATAAATTAAATATTCAAATAATAGAAACTGCATTAATATTTGTTAGTTGACTAGGACACACATTTTCAACTTTGAAGTTGTCTGCAAAGTACATTAATATTAGTATTTGTTAGTGGACTGAAACATAAGTTTTTCAACTT